CTTTTTTAGAAAAATTAGAAAAATCAAACGGTAAGCAAAGTGCGACTATAATACATTTCTGTTTTATTATATTAGCTAAAACATTTCTTTATTATTATTAGTATTATTATTTTTTTTTTTGCCTCCACAGAAGCACCAACAGGATCAATATCAAGTAATGTGTTTTGCATACTTATGTATTTTTTGGGTGTTCTGTGTATTAAACTGAAACATTCTTATACAGATTTATAGGTGTTATGCGTATTAAAACATAAGCATTAAATTTTTTTATTTTTTATGCAGTTTTATGAATGTTTGGTTTGTGCTAATTTAAAATTTAATTTTTTTTTTGCCTCTCCAGCAGCACCCCTGGCAAATATTTCAGGTAGTGTGTTTTGCAAACTTATGTATTGAAACATAAACATTCAATTTTTTTATATTTGTATGAAGTTTCATGACTCTTTAGTTGATGTTAATTTTTTTAACTTTTAATTTTTTTTTTTTTTTTTGCCTCCACAGAAGCACCAACGGGATCTGCATCAAGTAATGTATTTTGCATACTTATGTATTTTTTGGGTGTTGTATTATTCAAGCTGAAACATTACATTTTTAATATTTGTATGCAGTTTCATACCTGTTAAATATATGTTAATTTGAACGTTACTATTTTTTTTTTTTTGCCTTTACAGAAGCACCATTGGCAGTTGTGTCAGGTAGGTGGGTTTTGCATACTTATACAGGTTTATAGGTGTTATGCGTATTAAAACATAAGCATTAAATTTTTTTATTTTTTATGCAGTTTTATGAATATTTGGTTTGTGCTAATTTAAAATTTAATTTTTTTTTTGCCTCTCCAGCAGCACCCCTGGCAAATATTTCAGGTAGTGTGTTTTGCAAACTTATGTATTGAAACATAAACATTCAATTTTTTTATATTTGTATGAAGTTTCATGACTCTGTAGTTGATGTTAATTTTTTTAACTTTTAATTTTTTTTTTTTTTTTTTTGCCTCCACAGAAGCACCAACGGGATCTGCATCAAGTAATGTATTTTGCATACTTATGTATTTTTTGGGTGTTGTATTATTCAAGCTGAAACATTACATTTTTAATATTTGTATGCAGTTTCATACCTGTTAAATATATGTTAATTTGAACGTTACTATTTTTTTTTTGCCTTTACAGAAGCACCATTGGCAGTTGTGTCAGGTAGGTGGGTTTTGCATACTTATACAGGTTTATAGGTGTTATGCGTATTAAAACATAAGCATTAAATTTTTTTATTTTTTATGCAGTTTTATGAATATTTGGTTTGTGCTAATTTAAAATTTAATTTTTTTTTTGCCTCTCCAGCAGCACCCCTGGCAAATATTTCAGGTAGTGTGTTTTGCAAACTTATGTATTGAAACATAAACATTCAATTTTTTTATATTTGTATGAAGTTTCATGACTCTGTAGTTGATGTTAATTTTTTTAACTTTTAATTTTTTTTTTTTTTTTTGCCTCCACAGAAGCACCAACGGGATCTGCATCAAGTAATGTATTTTGCATACTTATGTATTTTTTGGGTGTTGTATTATTCAAGCTGAAACATTACATTTTTAATATTTGTATGCAGTTTCATACCTGTTAAATATATGTTAATTTGAACGTTACTATTTTTTTTTTGCCTTTACAGAAGCACCATTGGCAGTTGTGTCAGGTAGTGGGTTTTGCATACTTATACAGGTTTATAGGTGTTATGCTTATTAAAACATAAGCATTAAATTTTTTTATTTTTTATGCAGTTTTATGAATATTTGGTTTGTGCTAATTTAAAATTTAATTTTTTTTTTGCCTCTCCAGCAGCACCCCTGGCAAATATTTCAGGTAGTGTGTTTTGCAAACTTATGTATTGAAACATAAACATTCAATTTTTTTATATTTGTATGAAGTTTCATGACTCTGTAGTTGATGTTAATTTTTTTAACTTTTAATTTTTTTTTTTTTTTTTGCCTCCACAGAAGCACCAACGGGATTTGCATCAAGTAATGTATTTTGCATACTTATGTATTTTTTGGGTGTTGTATTATTCAAGCTGAAACATTACATTTTTAATATTTGTATGCAGTTTCATACCTGTTAAATATATGTTAATTTGAACGTTACTATTTTTTTTTTGCCTTTACAGAAGCACCATTGGCAGTTGTGTCAGGTAGTGGGTTTTGCATACTTATACAGGTTTATAGGTGTTATGCTTATTAAAACATAAGCATTAAATTTTTTTATTTTTTATGCAGTTTTATGAATATTTGGTTTGTGCTAATTTAAAATTTAATTTTTTTTTTGCCTCTCCAGCAGCACCCCTGGCAAATATTTCAGGTAGTGTGTTTTGCAAACTTATGTATTGAAACATAAACATTCAATTTTTTTATATTTGTATGAAGTTTCATGACTCTGTAGTTGATGTTAATTTTTTTAACTTTTAATTTTTTTTTTTTTTTTTGCCTCCACAGAAGCACCAACGGGATTTGCATCAAGTAATGTATTTTGCATACTTATGTATTTTTTGGGTGTTGTATTATTCAAGCTGAAACATTACATTTTTAATATTTGTATGCAGTTTCATACCTGTTAAATATATGTTAATTTGAACGTTACTATTTTTTTTTTGCCTTTACAGAAGCACCATTGGCAGTTGTGTCAGGTAGTGGGTTTTGCATACTTATACAGGTTTATAGGTGTTATGCTTATTAAAACATAAGCATTAAATTTTTTTATTTTTTATGCAGTTTTTTGAATGTTTGGTTTGTGCTAATTTAAAATTTAATTTTTTTTTTTGCCTTTCCAGCAGCACCCCTGGCAAATATTTCAGGTAGTGTGTTTTGCAAACTTATGTATTGAAACATAAACATTCAATTTTTTTATATTTGTATGAAGTTTCATGACTCTGTAGTTTATGTTAATTTTTTTTAACTTTTAATTTTTTTTTTTTTTTGCCTCCACAGAAGCACCAACAGGATCTGCATCAAGTAATGTATTTTGCATACTTATGTATTTTTTGGGTGTTGTATTATTCAAGCTGAAACATTACATTTTTAATATTTGTATGCAGTTTCATACCTGTTAAATATATGTTAATTTGAACATTACAATTTTTTTTTTTTTGCCTTTACAGAAGCACCATTGGCAGTTGTGTCAGGTAGTGGGTTTAGCATACTTATACAGTTTTATAGGTTTTATGCATATTAATTTTTTATGCATTTAAATTAGCATTAAATTTTTTTCTTTTGTATGCAATTTTATGAATGTTTGGTTTGTGTTAATTTAAACTTTAATTTTTTTTTCGCTTCTCCAACAGCACCCCTTGCAGTTATTTCTGGTAGTGTGTTTTACATACTTATGTAGTTTTGTGGGTGTTATGTGTATTAAAACATAAACATTCAATTTTTTTTATGTTTGAAGTTTCTTGACTGTAGTATATGTTAATTTTTTTTTTTTTTTACCTCCACAGAAGCACCATTGGCATCAGTGTCAGGTAACATGTTTTCACACTTATGCATTTATATGGGTGTTATGTGTATTTAAATATAAACATTAAATTTGTGAAGTTTGTATATAAATACATGATTTAATTGTTTATATATATATATTTTTTTTTCTTAACAGCAACACATTCTTCAGTTGCAACAGGTAAAGTGAATTTTAGTCGTTTTTAAAATTAATATGTTAGTCGTTTTATGCAGAATTTATATATATATATATATATATATATATATATATATATATAAATATATATATATATATATATATATATATATATATATATATATATATGCATATATGGTATGTAATCAAATTTATTGCTTTTTTTTTAGCATCTTGGGAGAGTTTCCTTTTATATCGCTCCCAGCACCCAGGCCCATTATCACAGAGGGCCTTCTTCCGGTGGTGCCAATATGGGGGAGATGATCCCTCCTTTAGATGGAGGAGACAGACCCCATATGGGGCCACCGGTAGGAGGAGTGGTGCTGGGAGGCAGAATGACCAAAGGTCAAACATTATGAATTTTTATCAGTAGTTTTTTTTTTTTTTTTTTGTGTTAATTTATTTATTTGTTGTAAATATATCTTTACGTTTCAAAAAAGTTGTTTTTTAGTTTCGATTTTTGCAAGTATTTTTATTTATTTTTGATATTTTAATTTTTTAATTTTATATTTATTGATTTTTATTTCTGATTTGAGAGTCTAAACTTTCAAAACAACTCTTATGTGGTTAAATGTTAAATAATTTGTCTATTAATTTTTATTTATTTCATATAGTTTTTGATTTCTTGATAGTAAATATTTTGTAATTTAGTTACAATTTTTTCTTATTCTATTTGTTTGTTTTATATGCCTAATTGTTGCATTATACACATATTAATGTTTATATTATTCTCTTTAGATTTTTATTATAAAAAAGTAATCATTAAAGATAGCCACATGTGAACTATATGATGTTACATGTTAGACAAGTTTTATTTGCAATTTGCAATTTGGCATGTCGTTTTTTTATTTGTAAATAATTTTACTATTTAATTTAGTTATTATTAGCATTAAAAAATTGTTAAAATTGTTATAATTTTATTTTAATTTATTTCTAAAATATTTTGTTTTATTACTTTAAATGTAATACTTAGTGGTTCAACTTATGTTTAACTTTTAGGTTTTTCTCTGTTTTAAACCAGTTAAGTTAAGACTTTAGGTCAATAATTTTTATTAGAAAATATATAAATAGTCTTATAGAGTTTATATTGATAATTAGAAATGCACATATTATGTTTTTCCATTTTAGATTAGTATAACAAAAAATTAATCAAATCAACTTTTATCAAACATAGTTTCTTAGTTATGTCAAATAACTTGAGAGCTGAAATAAGAAGAAATCGTCGGAATGAGAGAAATGAGGCTAGGCGAGAAGAACTTAATCGTCGCCAAAATGAAAGAAATGAGGCAAGGCGAGAAGAAATTAATCTTCGCCAAAATGAAAGAAATGAGGCAAGGCGAGAAGAAATTAATCTTCGCCAAAATGAAAGAAATCAGGCTAGGCGAGAAGAAATTAATCGTCGCCAAAATGAAAGAAATCAGGCTAGGAGAGTATTACATAGACGTGGAATGCATTGCATAGCAAGAAATAATGTTTTTATAGTGAGTAATTACCTTGGAGAAATGAACCATATTTGTCAATATTGTGGTGCCAAAAAATTTTTAAATGAAACACATTTTCTGTGCTGCCATTCTGGAAAAGTTGCGTTAGCTCCACTTTCGCCTTATCCACTGCTCATGCACAATTTAATGACAGGCAACCATGTTGATCGTGCTATGAATCAAAATTTCTTCAAGCATATTCGAAGTTATAATGCCTGTTTATCTTTTGCTTCATTCACAGCAAGAATAGCTCCTCCGTCTGATCATGGGCCACCCTGTTTTAGGATTTGCGGACAAATTGTGCATCGTGTTGGTAATCTGAGACCTGATCAAAATGTTCTGCCTGCATATTGTCAGTTATATGTTTATGATCCTAATACTGCTTTAAATTTTCGAATGGAGCAAAATGATTGTTGCATACGTGAGTTGATGGAATTTTTGCAGACTATAATTAGTCAAGAGAACCCATTTGCTCTTGCATTTAAAAACATGGCTGAAATTGAAGATGAAGAAGTACGTCAAGCAGCTTTAGAAGGTCGACCAACTTCGATTGTTAAAATGTCATTGCTTGAAGGTGGTGATAGACGTCGATACAATCTTCCTTCACATGAGGAAGTTGCCATTGTTTTTGTTGGGGATGATGGTGCTCCACCTCCATCTAGGGAAGTAGTTATATACCCTCGAGGTCAGGCCTTAAAAACAATTTCAAGTATGTCTGCAAATCTAGATCCAATGATATATCCAATATTTTTTCCAAGAGGTGATGCTGGATGGCATGAGCAACTAGAGCATCATCCTGACCGAGCTACACGTGTTAGAAATCGGGTTACTTTGTCTCAGTACTACAACTACAGGCTTTCTGTTAGAGAAACCTTTAATCCTATATTTAATGGTAAGAAGCTTTTTCAACAGTATGCTGTTGATGCATATGTCAAGATTGAAGGTCAGCGCCTTGCTTTTATTAGAAATAACCAAAACAGACTTAGAAGTGAACAATATGATACATTATATGAACATGTAAATAACGCTGCAAATAACCTTAATGTAAGACCAGGTCGTGTTGTTATACTACCATCCTCATATGTTGGAAGTCCAAGAGCTTTAAAAGAAAATTTTGAAGATGCAATGGCAATTATAAAGAGATATGGCAAACCAGATCTTTTTATTACTTTTACCTGCAATCCAAAATGGAAAGAAATTACAGAAAATTTAAATCCAGGTGAGAGCCCATCTGACAGACCTGATTTAGTTTGTCGTGTATTTAAGATGAAACTTAAATGCTTCCTAGATGATATTTTTAAACACGGAGTCTTAGGTAAAGTTATAAGTCATGTACAGGTTATTGAGTTTCAAAAACGTGGTTTGCCACATGTACATATTTTATTGCACTTTGTAAATGATGATAAGCTAGAAACAGCAGAGGATATTGATAGTCTAATATCAGCTGAAATTCCAGATCAAACTGTTGATCCTGAACTTTTTGAAATTATAAAAACATGTATGATTCACGGACCATGTGGAATTTTGAATCCCAATTCTTCTTGCATGAAAGATGGAATTTGCACAAAAAAGTTTCCTAAAGAATTTAATCCTCACACTGTTGCAACTTTCAATGGCTATCCTCACTACAGGCGTTTAGATAATGGTAGAGTAGTCGTTATAAAAGGTAACCAAGTTGATAATCGATGGGTTGTACCCTACAACCCTTGGTTATCTAAAAAATACCAAGCACATATTAATGTTGAAGCTTGCATGTCTATTAAGTCAGTTAAGTATTTATATAAATATGTCTATAAGGGGCATGATTGTCCTTTATGGAATACTCAATATTTGAGTATTCCATAAGTGATATGTCACATACTATTATCCGCCTTCAAGTCCACCTTCCTGATAATCAGAGGGTATATTTTAACGAAGGAGAAGAACGAGTAGCTATAGATCGTGCTGCACAGCGTGACACTCACCTAACCGCTTGGTTTAAATTAAATGCTGAGATAAATGAAGCACGTCAGTATTCTTATGTTGAAATTCCGTATCACTTTGTTTTTGATGGTAAAAATTGCAAGTGGAAAGTAAGACAAAGAGGCAGTGATAAGGTGATTGTGCGAATGTATAAAGTCAATCTAACCAGTGAAGTATTTTTTCTTAGATTGTTGCTTTTGCATGTAAAAGGTGCAATGTCTTTTGAGGATTTGCGTACTATTCATGGCACTGTTTTTAATACATTTCGTGAAGCATGTTATCGATTAGGTCTATTGCAAGATGACATTGAATGGAGAAATACATTAACTGAAGCTGTAGCAACTCGAATGCCTAAACAAATTAGGCAACTGTTTTCCATCATATTGACTTTATGTGAACCTGATGATCCTTTACACCTTTGGAATACATTTAAAGATTATATGATTGAGGATTACATACACCATTCAATGCCAGTTGTACTTGCTGAACAGACTGCTCTTCGTCAAATTGAATCTATAATTAATCAGAGTGGTAAAACTTTAACTGATTATAATTTGCCTACATTAGATCAGTTATTAGATAATGTCCTAGAAAATGATGATGGAGATATTCAGGTATTTATTGATGAAGCAAATCGAGATAGACCATTATTAAACGATAATCAGCGTAATGTAGCTGATGCAATCCTTGCTGCACTTAGTGAAGAACCTAATAATGAAAATAAGCATTCAAGATTTTTCTTTATGGATGGGCCTGCCGGTTGTGGTAAAACATTTACTTACAATTATTTAATTGCTGAAACACGCAGCAGGCATATTAGAACTGCAACAGCTGCATGGACAGGAATAGCTGCAACTCTTCTTAAGAATGGATGCACATTGCACGGCTTATTCAAACTTCCTGTTCCAATTTTGGAAACTAGCACATGTAATGTAACTCCAAACTCCATTCATGGTAGATTCCTGAGACAAGTTAGTTTATATTTACTATAGTTTATATTTTTTGGTGGTGTAGAAGAAGCTGATTATGCAAAACGTGCTATTTTAACACCAACAAATGTTGATTCATTGGCAATAAATGAAGAAGTCCTTCATCGATTACCGGGTGATGTTAAAACTTATTTAAGTTCAGATAGCATTGAAACTGATGATCATAATGAAATTTATAATTTTCCAGTTGAGTTTTTAAATACTTTGACTCCATCAGGTATGCCTGTTCATTGCCTAAAGTTGAAAATTGGTGCTGTTATAATGCTACTTAGAAATTTAGATCTCAAAGGTGGACTTTGTAATGGAACACGTTTGATGGTGCGTGCACTACACAACAATTACATTGATGGTGAGGTTCTAACAGGTGTATCAGCTGCTAACAGGGTATTTGTTCCTCGAGTTCAATTAGCTCCATCAGATTCAAATTTACCTTTTACACTTAAACGTCGTCAATTTCCAGTTAGGTTAGCATACTCAATGACCATAAATAAAAGTCAAGGTCAAACATTTGATAAAGTTGGTGTTTATCTCAAAAAGCCTTGCTTTTCACACGGCCAATTATATGTTGCATGTTCAAGAACAAAATCTTTTAATAGTTTGTTTTTTAAAGTTGATAAACATGCATTACAAGGTATGTCATTTAACAAATATTACACAAATAATGTTGTGTTTACAAATGTTCTTAATTTATAATTTTGACAAGTTTGTTTATGTTTTTTTTCTTTGCTATATATGTTTATATATGTGAATATATGTTTTTACTTATATATAGATGTTTGTTTTTGTATATGTTTGTTTATATGTGTTTAAGTTTATATTATGTTGTTTCCATGTTTGAAAAGTGGTGTTACTTGGCAACGTGTAGTGCAAGATTGTGATCCTTGCCAGCCAAGTGGTGTTACTAATTAGTGGTGTTACTTGGCACTTAATGCCAAGCGGTGTTACTAAATTGTGGTGTTACTTGGCAGCGTTTAGTGCCAAGCGGTGTTACAAGTGTTGAGCTAGGTTGTGTTGTCTAGCTTTTTTAATTATTTTGGAAACACATAATATCTGAATACATTGTGTAATGTGTACTTACAAATGTCATATGTTGTGTATTATTCAGTAGCGTAGGCAGGATTTTTTGATGCTTCAGGTTTTACTTTTATTTTCAGACTCTTTCATTACTTTCAGACTCTTTCATTACTTTCAGACTCTTTTATTACTTTTATTACTTTCAGACTCTTTAATTACTTTCAAACTCTTTCATTACTTTCAGACTCTTTTATTACTTTCATTACTTTCAGACTATTTCATTACTTTCAGACTATTTACTTTCAAACTCTTTCATTACTTTCAGACTCTTTCAACTAAACTTAATTGTGTTCATGTTTGTCAAATTCAAATAATTTGTAAAATATGGATGTGGTTGGGGCTTGAAAACAAATATGTTTTAAAAAGGTTTGCTTTCCTCCCTTGAATTTAGCTGCCAATTAGTTAAAAAAGTATTTTTTTTAAGCATATAATAATAATCTTATTCATTAACAGGTTTTAAATTTCTTATAAAACAACAAAAGTCCTGCCTACACCACTGGTGTTTTTGTTTGTCATTGTGTAATGTTTCTGTTGTGATGTTTTGTGTTGATAGACAGCTTGGCTTACCTTCACGCTGGTGTCTATCGTTAAAAATGATTATTAGCAAGCTTCATTACTGAAACTACTCCTTCTAATCATTCACTAAAAGCCAAGAAATATTTTTTTGAATAAATGCCTAATTTTTTTATTTCACTGTGACTTTTTATCTTTAGCATTGTTGATAAAATAGCTTTTTAAATAAAGAGTGTTTCCAGCCTTCCAATCAAATACTAGAGACTTCCACAAAAGCGATCTCACAAAGTAAGTTTCTTATTTAGTGTTTGATAATTGACTAAGTTTCGTCACCTTTTATATTTTTTTTTACATCTTATTATGTAATTTTTCAACATTTAGACAACTTTTAAATAACTTTAAACAACTTTTATATGTGTATTCAGTGTTTTATATAACAATATTTTTCTTCATTTTATAGGTAGATTTCCTGTTTTAACTGGTTTAAAAATTGTTAATCGTTAATCATTTTTTAAAAGCGTTTACTTTTTCTAAAGACGTATTACTAATACCATTAGTAATACGTCTATTCATACATTATCAAAAATACTTTATCAAATGTATATTCATACCATTTACTAAAAGCTATCTTCTCTATATATTATTGCCGAACTTAATAGTGTTAGTAGCGCTCTTTCGAGCGTGTTTGACAAACCCATGGCAACTATTGCAACCAAAGTAATGGCGAGGAAGAGTCTCAGCACTTTTTGATAAATAAACGTAAACAAAAGTGTATGCAAATATCTAACTTACGTAAACTTCAAAATATGAAATGTTAAAACATACAAAAACATGTCAAGTTTTACAGTTTTACTTTCACTTAAAAACAGCATTGCGGCAACGTCTCTTTAATTTTGATCGATTTACAAAGTCTTTTATTTATTATATATTTTTGAAATTTTCGTCAAAATGCCGTGGTTAGCCTTACGTAAACTTTTATTTATTATAATTTTAAATTTGTTATTTGTCATGTTATTTTACGTCGTATTAGCGCAAAGAAATTGGGTATATAACATGTAAATATTTAGAACTATAAAGTTGTTTTGTTTTGCATTTTAAATAACAATAATTTTATTAAAAAAAGCAAGCTGATGATTTGAACTTGCCACGCGGCGACCTTGAATTTTTTTAAAACAGTGAGGGGGTTTTAAAAAAAAACATTCTTATTTAAAAAAACTTTAAAAATCTTAAATTTATTTTTAAAATAAATCATTTTATTGAACATATTATTTTTCAAAATAATAAAACGTTAAAACTATTTAATTTAAAATAATAAAAATATTTAGAATTTTACAGATACTTATTTACGCCCCCGTTAAATATTCTAAACCGAGTGCGCAACTATGACAGAATTTAGAAAACCAATAAAATTGTAAGATACTCTGTTTAATATTGGAAGAGTCTACTCGGATGCTATAAACTAATGGACTCTATTATGTTTCTTTTTGTAATGTTTTTCTAACGGTTAACAAATAAAAGCAAAGCGGAGATACATCAACTGAGCGTTTAGGTTTGGGCAGGCATTCTTTTAAATTAAAGAAAAGAGTTTTGATACTTATTTAAATAGGGTTAATAAAATATTTTAAATTATATATATTATATTTAAAAAATTATAAAACTAAATTACATATGATTTTTAGATGAAACAGTAAAAATAATTGTTTAAAATACGTGCGTGCAAATAATTCCTACCAATACTAAACGTAAAAAAACGCTTACAAACACCAAAAGTATATTTACCGTGAATAAAATTAAGTTCAAAGAAAAATTGGAAGAAATGTTTAAAACTGTTTCAATAATAACATTTATTTTTAATTATTTTTGTTGTAAGTTGGGATGAAAAAAAAGGTCACTGGAATATGAACTCCCGGGGTGAGATGACTATATCTGTCTAAGTGTTGCGCGGCTACCAATTAGCCCATAAACGTATTCTCTATTTAGAATTTGAGATAATTTATGACGCATAAGAAGTGTAATTAAAAATTCAAAACCAAGTTTGGAACAACTGAATTTAAAAAAAATCTAATTAGATGTGTATATGTTATGAACGTTAACTAAGGCGTACTTTAACGGCATCACGTGCTGAATGTTTTAGCATTTTTCAAAGTTCGTAGTCTTTTTTACGTTTTTTCTTATTAAAATCTTTATAATCGGCATAATATTAAAAGCGTTTAAAGTTTTTTAAAGAACATTATAACGTTATATAATGAAATTTTTTTGTCATATCAAAAAGTAAGTATAGTTTTTTATATGTCGGTATAGTAAGTATAGTTTTTTAAGGTCGGTGTGGAATAGATTTACTAAGACCCTTATTTTACGTCCTGATAGCTATAGAAATGATCAGATAAGTATAAAAATGGTCGGTTCGGTAAAGACCCGTATTTTACGGGTCCGCCCAGCTAGTATATATATATATATATATATGTATATATATATCACGGCTGTTTCAGAGTGGACATACGGCTTCTTGTTATTTATTGAAAATAATTACTTAGGGGGTGTTACTAAAACTTTCATAACTTTTGAAATAATAAAGATAAATACGTTCTGTAAAAGGAATATGAACACTGACTAAATGTTTTATTATTCAATATAATAATCCAAGGCTGCTCTGATTTTTAAATAAAGGCGCAAAATGACGAACTTCGCAAAATTTCAAAGGTACTTTTTAGCAAAAATAATCAGAAAAATTATATTTCTGTTGACTAATATGTAATATAAACATAGTTAGACCAATTATAAAACATATTAACATTATTTACACTGAATGCAAATTGATACAGGCACTACAATAGACAAAATAAAAAAATCGCAAAATTTTTTTTTTTTTTGTTTAAAGATTTAGAACAAAAAGAGTTTCGAATTATTTTTGCTTTCGGTCGTAGAGTAATTTCCTGACACTTAGATTGATATTACAATATTAACACTTTTCTGTGGAAAAATAACACATTTTTTTATAAATATACATAGCAATATAGGCAATTTAAATAATTTGATAAATATCGTTTTGGTGAATTGACATAAATAATTTTTTTTTTCAGTTAATATAATTATATATATTCTATAAGTAGTAAACGATCTTTGTATGCAATTGATACTAGTTTTATTTCCGTTCCATATGGCAAATACTCTCCATAATCTTAATGACTTCTTATGTTAAATGTTGGCGCTTCATGCTTCTTCTGGAGTAAAGTTTAACTAATGATGCCCCATCCAACAATGATCAACAATATGATGGTTCGTATTAGTTGTCGTTTATTCATGATTGAAAATTTTCTTTATGATCTGACTGAAACAAACTGTTGTGTAACTGCTAAGACTTATTAGAATCATTTATTTTTTGGATTCTCATAAGCAAGAAATTTTTTTAGTTATCAGTTGGTCCAATGATTTGTTCTAAAGGTAGTATTAACACTCTTTGTACACGCAGTTAGAACTATGTTGTATCCCATTCTTTCACCAGAAAGACAAAAATTTTTATGATGACTAAAACTGTAATGCTTACGTAACTGTTGAAGCACATTCGAACTAATTTCTAAAGATAAGAATGGAAGTTAATTAAATACAATTAGTTTTTTAATATTATAATTGAACTTGATGGCCACAAATAAGACAAAGACTTTTTCTATAAAACGATTTTTCGCCATGCTCTGAACACACAACACACTTTCTTACTTTAGCAGCTTAAAGCTTTCTATCAGCTTTGCTGTGCAATTCAAAGCGTTTTAAAACAAGACGCAGCTTCTGTTCCTGATTCCTTACTGAATGCAACTGTCTTAATTCCTGATTAACGCCGCCATGCAAACTCTCTCCTTCTTCTTCATTCAGCAATCCAATAGTTTTATGCGATTTAACAAATAGTGGCACATTAAAAGTGAGTTCATGCATTTTTCGCGTAATACTTTCATTAGGAAAGCAAGCATGAAACTCACAAGCAAATAAATCTGTATATTGACATTGCTCAATAACTTCGGCATCGGAAAGAATTTTTGTCTTATAAAGAATCGGCTGCAACTTATTGAAAACGCTAAACACACGCAAAAACTTATTTCTAATTGGCGCATCATCAATAACACTACAAAGTTTTAAGTGGTTTCTTAAAACTATTTTGCAATGATTACCAACAAATACATTACCATGGTAAGCTTGCCGCTGAACATTCATATCATCAAGGGCCTGCAGAAGAGCCTTCTCCTGAGTGCCCATTTCGCTTCTTGATTTTTTTTTTTAAGATCCGCG